CACTCCCTTTCAATATTAATATTTCACATTTGTGTTCTCTATACAATCTACAACGGAGAGCTTTCAAGATGCTGAAAAGTCAGCTCTTGGGCTAATACTACCTCTGAACAAACCAATGACAAGTCTCATTAATTGGAGGAAATGATTCCTAAGTTTAGAGCAGGATGACAAAAATATGGCTCATTTCTGGCCCAGTAAACCTTTCTGGTAGACATAAAATAAAAACAACCAAGTCTGACATGTTTGAAAGGACAGCTGTTTTTGCCTTTCCAGAGTGTCCCTTTGGGTAAGAGAAATGGTCTCTTCCTTTTAACCGCTCTGTGGATGGGTGCTTTGGGCAGGGCCACCCCTCCGAGGATGGACACTAAAGGTTGCCAGTTTTCAGATAGGTTTCGGACATCCCTGTGTAAGACATACCTTCGCCAGTAAAATTCAATTTAAATAGCTTGAACAACGTAACTGTCCAATTCAAGGTTTCACAGAAAGCTTGATACGAAGCTCCAATGATAAAAGGACCCAGTTTCTCTCAACATGGGCGTGTCCTCCTCTGGGGGTTGTACGGAGGTCAGCTACATCCTTCCTTCGCGAGGAAGGGCCTCTGTTCTAGCACGGCCATCTGAAGGCCTGACATTTGCTCTGTTTGGGTTCGCCTGGATCACATGCCTACCTGACCATCCTTGTGATGGGCTGATGGGCAGGCAGCACGTGCTGACGGGCTCAGCCCATGTGGCCCTCTCCTGAAGTCCCAAGGAAAGGTGCTGACCTCAGAACACACAGGTCTTGAACACGGGTTAGGGCAAGGGGGAGAACAGACAGTCAGGAAGCAAACATGCCCACATCCGCTCCATCCTGTAAGAGATCTGGATTTTTGCATGTGAGAATGGTGGTTTAGTTTTTGAGAAGAGTTTCATCTCGTGTAGCCGTTCGGGAGGGAGAAATAAAGGGTGACAAAGGTAGGTGTGCACTGGACACTCCTCTCTCTGCGTTAAATACAAATTATAATCCTTTAAAAGAGATCTTTTCAGATTTTGAAATTTATCTTTTTATATGAAATTATATAATTCGTTCACTGTTTCAAGTGCCCACATTCGAAAAGAAAAATAGATGAAATGTCAAACATTTCTAAGAATTAACATGAGGAAAACAGGAGGAAAAGCAATCTTATCAATGACATGGGAGAAAGCATAAATAGTAAGAGTCAAGACATTGCAGAGAGAGTATGTAACTTGACTTTAGTAACTATTTAGCACTGAACATGAAGATAAGTTCCCAGTCTTAAAATTCCCTATTTAATTATACTGTCAGCTAGAGGAACAGCTACAGCACATCTACTTTCAAAGGTGCAGACTTTACTTGTATTTACTAAACTCTAGCCTTTTCTACTTTAATTTTCAGTAACAACCATCCTTGTCTTCCATAATTTCTTCCCATCTGCCATTCATCACAGCTCTTTATGTGGCTTATGAGCACGTTAAAAACGTTTGGAAAACCAGCATCATAATTCCTCTGACCAGATTTTTGTTATTGCTCGCCTCATATTCACTTGGCATCCCATCAGGACATCTTGGAAAGGGACAGTCCCACATTTACTATAAAGGTAAACCTTCTGAGTATCTGGACCTAAATCTCCCGAGTTGTCTGGGTTTACAAATAGAAGGGCACCACAAGTCCACCCCCACTCTGCAGGGGCTTGTCAGTATGCATGCACGTAACTGCCCAGGGAGAGATCACTTCAGTTCTTGGCAGCATCAGCCACGCCCCAGACTCCAAAACGTCACCCCAGCTGGCAGGCACAGTGCCTCAAAACGCTACCACAGGAAGCCCGTTCATTTGGATTTAGGTCCTGCCTATTCATCAACTTCAAATTGAAAAGTTTAATTACTCAATGACCCCAATAACCACCCACACTCTGAAGCCCAAGAGCTGATAGAAGGTGCCAGGATGTCAAAAGGGCTTGAAGTATAAGGAAGGCTATGAAATGGAAGGAGGGGAGACAGGCCTAAGTTACTGCTCAGGGTCTAGAACGAGAAGGCCCTAACAATCAGCCCCATACAGGTAAGTACAAAGGCTTTATGGAAAACATTAGCGGTGGAAAACAACTGAAATTTGACATTCCAGGAACAGAACCCTCAAAACATGAATTCTCATAAAGAAAATGAGACTTTCTTCTGAGTTTCCCTTTTTCTGTGCAGGAATTCAAATGTGCTTTAGACAGAAAAGTATTTGCTTAATATTAAGAATATTCTATTGGATAAAGTAGAATGGTTTTTCAACTGAAATAGTGTTTCACTAGGTTTTTCCAAATGGAGAGACCTAGGGCTTACATGCAGCTGATTCACTGAATTCACGGATTTTCAATTAATACTTTATAACAAAGTACATACAGGAAGGGTGCCTGGGGGGCTCAGTGGGTTAAGCATCTGCCTTCAGCTCAGGTCATGATCCCAGGGTCCCAGGATCGAGTCCTGCATCAGGCTCTCCGCTCAGCGGGGAGTCTGCTTCTCCCTCTGGCCCTCTCCCCTCTTGTGCTCTCTCTCTCAAATAAATAAAATCTCTTTAAAAAATGTACATATAGGAAAACAAAAGGATTTATAAAGATACATTTATGGTTTCATTAGTGTCATTTATTTCTGGATCATGCACAAAGACAATTCCATTAGTACATTTATTATATTATCCATTTTAGTGCTTATAATAATGGTCATCTTCAGTTGGATATTTGAAATGTAGCTGTTAGTGCACCATCTGAAGTGGAACTCCAGGTTACTTATTTGTAATTAGAGTTCAAACAAATGTCCATGTTTCTGAATGCTACACACCACTGGCAGACGTGGCAGGAACTGAGTAAGAAAGATACTTAAAGCACGACAAAACCCTGTTTCCAAACAATAGTATGACTGCAATAAAGGAAAAGCCAATGTGAACCACAGGTTTTTACACTCCGCCTTGCCTGAATAAATTTCACAAACTCCAGAGAGACCCTCAAGCTTTTCACATTCCTTACTCTTTGTAGAAAGGCCAAGGACGGCATCTCCTTTTGAGGCAAGAATACGAGGCCAGTCATCTGCAGACCTGGGCTGAAACCCTGGCTCTGCCCCAAGTGCCCTGGTGACCGCACTTGATCTCCATGTTTCTACTGTCTTGATTCTACACCTGAGTTTGATCTAAACCATCCCTTAGTGCTGATTTCCAGTTCACAGGTCCTGTGACTCCTAGGAAACAAGGCTGCAAGAGCACATCAGATCAGACCGTGGTTCTCCTAGCGTGGTTCCTGCATCATTACCACCTGAGAATTTTTAAGAAATGCACATTTGGGGCCCCGCCCAAAGCCACATCGTATCAGCAATCTCTGATTTGGGAAGCAAGTCCTCCAGGTTATTCTGATGCACACAACACAGTATGAGAACCACTGGATCGGACCAAAACCACTTTTAAGAAATTCACAGTTCCTAACACAAGGCAAATTAAATCAATCTAAGCTCTATCATTAAACTCAGTTTGTCAGCTACACATTACTTTTCCAGGGCTATGGCACTGAAGGCATCTCATTCTTTGAAAATCCTGAAAAGAAATAGCCACAGAGATAAAATTTAGGGCAATTTTAGCCACTAATAGCCAATGATACTTACTTTTACCCACTAATTCAGAAAGTTAGGGTTTGAAATTCTTATTTCTCCAAAGCTATTTATTAAAGAAAAAATCATTTCCTAACCATAAAAGACTTTCTCTTCAACCTTGTGAATAATGATTTAATAAAATTCAGGTTTGTAACATATACTAAAAGATGTACGTCATCAATATGAAATATTGTAATAGCACACAATAAGGGATTTTTACACTGCCAACATAATAAATTGAAGTTCTGAGTTATCTGCGCACTACAGTAACTGTAATTGCTTCTCATACATGGATACTTTGTGTTTTAATTTCTAGTTTTATAAGAATCAGGAAAAATTTACAGTGGCTCCATAATCCACTCTCTGAAAAAATCATAATTAAATGTGTAATTATTTTATATACGAAATATATAAATAAAAATAAATAACTTTATGAATTATTAAATTATTTAATAATATTTTAAAGTATCCTGATCTTTCCCAAATTAGCTCACCACACACTAAGAGGATTGTCAAATCCTCACAATCTAGTTCTTTATTTTCTAGATTAATAAGAATTAGGCTACCAAGAGAAAAAGAACTCTATCAATTGCCCCATACTATGTTTTTAAACATAGCTCCTAAGACATCAAAAATAAGCTACACTATGGAGAAACTGTCTCAAATGATACGGTGAAAATCACTGCTTTGGAAAAATCCAAAAATCTGAAATACATTTTATCATTTCTTTTCCATTATTATAGGTTTAAAAAAAAAGATTTAAAAAATTCTAATCAGGAATAAGCAAAGATAATGTACCCAAACAGAAGCACCAGAGTCCTGGCAAGAATCTGTTAATGAGGTATCTCTTTTGGATTTGTTTTATTACAACAGAAACTTAGTTTGTAGGGCACTTATCCAAAGCCGCTGAACCAGTTTTATTCTATTTGAAGACAAAGTCGTTCCCGCAGCAGGGCAGCTTAAACCAGAGAGATGACAGTGCAAGAAATGGCTTACAGTCACTGTGGTCATCTAGACACAGATGCCAGGGACAATGCGTCTAACAGCATCACAAAACTCAGGAAATGCTAAATACGCTTAATATACAGATACACATTTAACACGAGATCGTATCCTCACTGCATTTTTCAAGCTGAACAAACTATCGTGATAAACAGTTTAGATGCAACCAAGAGACACCGTTTTAGAGAAAAGAGTGGTTATAATATATCTTTTACGACAGGTATACCTATACCATAAAAAACTCAGAACTAGTAAATTCAGCACTTTTTTTTGTTTTACAAATTTTTATCAATGTGTTTGGATGTTGGATTTTTATAATATTCTCACAAAGATTCTATAAACCAAATAATCTGAGCTGGTTAAAAAGGATGACGAAATGAATTCAACATTTAATATAGCTTTTATTTGTTTAATTTGGTAAGTGGAGAATGTAACGCTTTCAAAGCAAACTCTGGGTTATTTCAGTCACAAGTCCACAGTTAACATGATTCTGAAGCACAGTCTTATCTTCAATATCTACCCACCCTACACAGTCACAGCTAGGGAAATCCATGTACATATGTATTTGTTTTCAACAACTCTAGATTCAGATTTTATATTCTCACACACTTCAAAATGTACCCATTTGATGCAGGATATAACCATAAGAAGATAAAAATTCATGCAATGATACTCAGGTTTAAAAAAAAATCCAATATTTGATCATTCAATGCCATATCAAGTGCATTGAATATCTAAAATAAAACAAGTGCCAATTTTATCATGAATTCATAACATATTTATTGTCTTGAAACCAAACAGGCCCAAGTTACTTTTTGTCTTTCTTGAGTCAGCTATTAACTCATTTCTCTCAAACTTCCTGTGTAAGAAAAAACAAGATATTTCCTTTCTTTTTTGCACTTTCAAGAGATGGCAGAAGGTTTAAGGTAGGTATGTTCTTGATAATTCAGAGTCAGAAAGTACTTCTTCCTGAGCAGAAGGTTCATAATCTCCTACGTTTTCCGCCAATTCAGTATCTAAGTCGTCATTACTTTCTGCACTGTAATCCACTTCTTCAAGGAATCGAGGCTCATCTTCATCCAAAACGTAAGTGGTAGGGCTGTGGCCAGAGCACAGAGAGCACACGAGACTTCATTAGATCCCAAGGTTCTAACATAAGGTTATTTGACCACACTGGGTTAACTTTGATTTCAAAATTTTGATTAGCTTTAAAAATGTTATCCAAATGAAAAAGTTAAGAGATTTATAACAGTTGAGACCATAAAGGGTGAAATGCTAAGTATTAATTATATGACAAGGCTGTCAAAATATACCCTACAATTAGAGAGCTATAAAAAACAAGAGACTCCCCTATTAGGTTGCTTTTTTCAAGGACTTCAACAATTTGCAGGATTAAAAGTTCTATCTTAATCACTAAAAAGGAACAGACCACTTCAATAAGCTTTATTTTATCTTATTAATTCATCCATTATAAGAAACTGCGGTATTTAAACACTAAAACCACTTATTCTAAGTCTATACAATGATTATTTGCCATAAAACAGCCCATACACTCTTCCTCCCAGTTTCCAGTGGTCAAGAATAAAAACAAAAAACAAGTGAATGCTCCATATCCAGATTAATAACTTGCCCTTGGGACACAGAATAAGATATTTGCTTAAAAGCACTAAGTGCTTCTGAATATTTCATTAGGTAGGCTGTTTGGGATAAAGACAACCTTTCCATCTTTCCTCTTCAAAAAAAAAAAAAAAAATCACAGTATTCTGATTTCTCCCCATTTGGGAGATTTTACACACATGCACGTGCGCACATGCACACACACAGTGTTATCAAAGAAACACTACAGAAATATTTCAATGTCCCCATTTTGTGACCAAAACTATCTTAATTTCACACAGATGCATGTCTGTTTATATCCCACCTGCTTCCAAAAAGGATTTCCCATCATGGATGCAATTAAAAGCTATAAATCAGAAAATAAAAAGGAAACAATAAACTGTTAAAATGAGCAGGGAGGCAAATGTCATTAGGCATCTAGAATGAAAGAAGTCCTGTGCTGAATATGAAATTTGGTTCAGATATCTACAAGTTTAGGCAGGAAAGACGAGTTAATGGATTATACGGTTCTCATATTCTGAAAAGAGAAAGCAAAACTCATCCACTAAGACTATCTCTTTTTCCTAGAATTGTTTTTATCTTGCTCATTAAAAATATATTGCAAAACCACCTTGATCTATTTATATAGCAAACTTGTAAAAAGTTCAGAGCTTGGGTGGGGGGATGGGTTAGCCTGGTGATAGGTATTAAGGAGGGCACGTACTGCATGGAGCACTGGGTGTTATATGGAAACAATGAATCGTGGATCACTACATCAAAAACTAACGATGTACTGTATGGTGACTAACATAACATGAAAAAAAAAAAAGTTCAGCACTTGCCCTGTGATGGACTAGTCCCGATAAACCCGCTGAGTGGCTTGAAGGACTACATGAGACTTTATTACTTACCTAACACTCACAAGAATGATTTCACAGCCTTCAATTATGCAACTAAAATATTTATCATGAATCTATCAGGTCTTTAGGAAAAAAATGAGATTAAAAGGAAAAAATTATTTGCCTTTTAAAATGATCATTTTCCTTTCTTTCTTTTAAAAAACAATAATTCATTCCTCCTTCATGAGTTTGGTGTTTCAAATTCTCAGGGTGTCCCAGGTGAATCACAGCATACCTGGAGGACTATTAGAACAGACTCTTAGAATAGATGGAGGCTTCAGCTAAAGCAAAGGAAGGGGAAGGACAGAAGTGAGGGGACAAACTTGTTTACTTTCTTCCCGGAGACTGTCCAAACAAGAAGAAATGATCATGGAAATGCAAGGGAGGAGGCAGATTTGCTCAAAAGCCATGCACTCCACTGGTACAGGGGCTGGGGAAACCAACCAGAACTGGAGAGGTTCACTCCACAGTGAGGAGGCATCATGCCCAAAGCAGTGCAGTCACCGGCAGCATCGTGGGATCTCCCGACAGGAAGGAAGAGCACAAAATCCATGTGGTGGGTGGGTGGGCAAGCATCATTCGGGAGATCTACGGACCACAGAATTCCAACCCACCCCTGCATTCCACCCCCACCCCATACCACCACCAAAGAAAACAGACTGGCATAAAGTAAACTAGTTGCAGGAAGCCCAGCCACTACATGGAGGTCAGAGTAAGGACCTAGTTCTACATGGGCAGCTGAATACTAGAACATTAATCAACATGAACTAAGAGAAAGGATTTAAAGAAAAAGCCTAGACTTATAGGCTAAAAAACAGTCTTTTAAGTTGAGGAAACAGAAGAATGATTTTGAAGCAACAAAAATGCCCAGGATCAAGCAAAAAAAGCTGCTAGACGTCAAGGAGACTTGGAACAATGCTGGGGTCAGATACTGATAAGCACTTTTATTAAGTCTAAGAAGCACAACCTGGAAGGCAAAGCCCCTGGAAATTTAAAAGAAATCCCATAAAAGGAATGTTCAGAAAATAATTTGAGCCTGTCAATTCCTGATCTTGGCTCCTTCATATGCTGACTGTGACATAAACCCCCCTCCATGTTCCGGCATCATCCATCGTGATACCTAGGAATAGACAGGTTTCACACTCTTAATTCCATTCCCGGAACCCTCACTGACCCTGATATTTGATGCCTATTTCTGCAGGTCCTATCAAAGTCACATTCCTAGCCTCAGCTTCGTGAAGGTGTACCGTCTGACTGAAATGCAGCGAGTCCATCCGGCAATGGCAAAGGGGCCCTCAGTGCCAAGCTGTGCGCGTGTGGGGGCGGGGGTGAGCGCTGGGTAGACCTAGGGCCAAAGAGCTGCAGGAAACCTGAGAGAGCGGGAACAGAAGATTACAATCCCCATAACTCCACTGAAAGCAGCCTTCTGACTGGTATTCCAGTTGCCACTCTCCAGTCCATTGTTTCTAGATCTCTCTGTTGCACTTAACTGGTAGAAATTCCAATACGCCTCTCTTCCACTGTGCCTCATTCCCCTCTGTCCCTCCTCACTGCTGATCAAGTGCTCTACATCCTCCATAGTATACCTCAAAAATAGGTGCTTATAAAAATGCTCTCCTGGCACGCTTTTATATGCAAGCCCTCTTTGAGTAAGCTCACATATTTTAATTTGCATTCTGATCATTTCCAAATCCAAATTTCAAGCCCTGACCTCACCCTTGAACTTCCACTGTGCACACAAGCACTTGCTAGCAGATTCACATGGCTATCTCACATATACCCCAAATGTATATTCGCAATGGAACTCACCATACTCCCTAGCAAGCCTGCTCTGCTTGTCCTCGTCCCAACATCATCCACTCAGGGCGCCATAAAACCTAATTCTCAGCAAGCAAGTCCTACCAATCAATCTCTAAACTACTTCTTGCTTCACATTTTACATCACAAACCTTCACTGACATTGCTTCATCTGCTTAGGACATACTTCCCACCTTTTTTCTCCCAGCGACTCATATTTCCTTCAAACTGCAGCTCAGGCTTATTTTTAGATGTTCTTCCTTTCCAGAAGCCCATTTTGGGCTAAGCGCCCTTTCTCTGTATCCCCTCTGTACCCTGCGTGTTCTGTCCCATCACTGCTCCCAGGCAGGCAAAACCATCTATTTGTGGGCCTGTCTTCTCAGCAGCATGTTAAGGTCGGGAGCTGTGACTTATGCATATTAATCCCTCTTATCAGCTCCCAAGAGTATTCGACACACATTGTAGGCCCTAAATGAATATTTGCTGAACTCCACGAGAAGCCACAGGGCCCACGAGACCATCGATTTTTATGTTACCCCATCCCACTGATTATACTTTACGTAAAAAAACTTAAGGCACAAGACCAATCACAGCAATTCAGCTTTACTTTTATTAATAATTCCAACATATGTTTTGAACAATGTACAACTTAGGAAGGGCCTTCATATACATTATATCTCACAATAACCTCCAGGTTACTGAGAAAGACTTTAAGGTAATTTGCTCTAGAGTTATAAAATAATTAATCCCTTGACATCAGCAGAAAGGAATTCAAGTAATAATTCAATCACAAAGAGAAACTCTAATCAGCACTTAGTTATTTCCTATCACTATTACTTTTTTCCCACCACAACTTCCTTGTCCCCCTAATTCTCTTCCTGTTGGTTTACTCCTGCTGCCCTGTTCTGCTTTGTTCTCCAACGGCTGGCCTATGTAGACCTGCCCTAACATCCTTCTCTTCTGGATTTTAATCAATGAGAAACATTTCATCCTAAAAGAGAAGAGCATTTTAGTCCAAAACCAAATCTTCCCCATGCTGCTTCAGGAAAAATATCAAAACCTTCACCCAAATGGCTTTCTCACAGGATGAATTTGTTGAAATTCTCTGCTGTCTGGTGTTATTATGATGCAGAAGAGGTTCAAAATTCCCACTGATTTCTAAAGATAACACAAAATTCTGCTTCATTCAGATTCCAAAAGTGTTTTGGCTATCACTATGTTAAACTAGTAAGCATACGCAAAATTAAACCTAAGAAAGTCACCGTCTCCCTCGAGGCACGCCCAGCTACTTGCATTAGCGCTGACTGGACATCTGAGACACCAAGATGCAGATCTTCAGCTCTGTTACCTACACCAGCATGAAAGAAGCAAAACGCTGGACATGGAGTCAGAAATTCTGGGTCTGTGCCTCTCTTCTTCCACTAGCCAGCTGCATGACCTTGAGCAAGTCACACACTTTCTTCAAGCACTGATTTTTCTCAAGAATAAAAGCCAAGAGAACAATGTCAGCACCACTACCTCACAAGTTGTTTGGCTCCAATTAGATAGTGAGTGTGAAAGCATTTGTAAATTCTTAAGCTGTACAAATATAAAATGCTATTATGAAATTAATAAAGCTACCTTGTTAAAGAAAAAAGTTAATCAGTTCCTAAAGAGCCCAGGTAATGGGCTGCCCCCACACCAACAGGACTAAAAATACTACCTTCCTCTTGTAACTCAGAATCCTCCCTTAACCTCATACTCTTCTACAATTTTGAAACTAACCTACCTGTTTTCAGACAGCACAATAAAGATATCCTGGGGGAGA